TATATATATATATATATGTATGTATGTATGACGCGATACGAAACGTGCTCGAAATGATGGGAATTCCCTACGCGCGTTTCTTTCGTTGAGAATTATTTGATAAAGAAATATCTTCTATAAGGATGACGAGAGAGAGAGAGAGAGAGAGAGAGAGAGAAAAGGATGAAGAAAAAGAAACGAAAGTTTAATGAAAGAAATCGAATAATATTGTCGATCGAGATATGTTTCAAGAATAAAAATGATACGTGTTATTTTTCTTTAGAATACTATGATTTTACTTAACAAACAAATACGATTTACATAATTTATATAAATATATAATTATATACATCTTATCATGTTTTTAAATAACAGATAAATGTTCCCAAAGAATACACGTGTGTAAAAAAAAAAAAAAAAAAAAATAAAAAAATCTAATTAAATCTATCGAAAAATATTATAGAAGATTAAATTAGAGTTTTAAGAAATTAAAAAATATAATTAAAAAAAAATCTAGAAAAAATTCATATCGAAAAATAGAAGATCAAATTACTGTTTTGAGAAATGAACAAATTTAATAAAATAATTCTATATACAGTATATATATATATATATACACATACATATATATGTATTTAGAAGATATATAATCTAAAATAGAAAAGTTGTCATTTGAAAAACTAAAAAAAAAAATGATAGGATAATATATGTCAGAATTTTTTTTTTATGGAGTAAATTTCATTTCACTGTATACCCTTCCATGAAAAGAAATTGGAAGTAGATAGTTTGATTCGTTCGTTCGTCTAGAGACGATGATCGGGTTCCAACAGGTAAACATTGGAAAACTCTTGGGAATCTAACGCAAAACTCTCCTCCTTCTCCTCCTTTTCTTCCTTCTTCTTTACCTTGCACACATTTACAAATCAATCGTTTGCTAACTGCATTTCTCATCCTTAGTCGTAAGTTCTACTATGGAGATACTTTTTTCACTAAAGTTACCAGAAAAAAGGGAAATTTGTTTTTTTTTTCTCTCTTCCATGGATGAAAAACTTCTTTTTCATTTTCTTCTTCTTTCTTTCTATTTCTTTCTCTTTCTCTTTTTCAAGGACATACCTCTCGTCAAATCGGTGGTAAACGTTTTATCGTAGATTTAAGAAACGTTAAAGCTCGCATCTTAGAATCGAATACCTTACATTTACTTATCCAACTACTTTTTTCAATCCTTAAAACTTAATCGTTATTCCATCTAGTAAAAAAAAAAAAAAACAAAAAAAAAATACGAAAGGTAAAGAAAAGAAGAAGAAGAAGAAAAAAAAGGATATGAAAGTATAAAAAGTACTAAAAAGTAGGATAGATAGATATATTAAAATTCACTAAGAATAATTTTTCTCACACGTATATCTATCTAGGATAGGTGATAGTGTAATAGTAGTAGTAGTATAAGCATAAGTTTTACGTTGGCATGCATAAACGATCGAGCTTAGGAACATTTTTTCTTCTTCTTCTTCTTCTTCTTAGCAAATACCATTGAATACTATAATGCGAAACGGATGCTTCTTTTCTTCTTCTTCTTCTTTTTGGGTTATTTTTTTTTTTTTTTTAGGTATGGTCGTAAACGGATTTGTTAATGTAGTGATAACAACTATTGAAAGGAGATTTGGACTTAGGTCATCTCAAACCGGATTGATAGCAGGTGGATATGACATTGCGAGTTTTCTTTTACTCGTACCTGTCAGTTATTTAGGTGGTCGTTCTAAAGCATCAAAACCAAGGTCAGTGATAAACTGTCATAAATGTTGATGATGCATTTAAATACTTTCATAACATACATACCGTTTTTTTTTTTTTTTTATTATATTCGTTTTACACATTCGTATTAATAATCAATAATATTTCATCACGAATGATTATCATAAAAGTATTAATTTTTTTCACCTTACCTATATTTGACAATTAAAAATTACCTTTAGGTAATAATATTATTTTATTTGTATTCTTATTGCAAACAATGATTCAAAAATGTATATTAGTTCAATCAAATTTGATTGGTGGAATATTAGAAAAATATTATAAATTATTGCATATATATATATATATATATTGAAAATGTTTTTAGATACATCGGTGTTGGGGTTCTAGTCTTAGGTTTAGGAAGTTTATTATTTGCATCCCCACATTACCTAATTGGCCCTTATAGAGGTGGTCAACAATCTGAAAACATATGTCAAAAAGCTAATAATGTTTCTACTCGTTCAGTAAGTTAGGTTCTTTTTGACGTGTCAATAGGATCACGTTAAAGGAAGTTAGAATGTTGTGAATTCAAGTTTCAGGTATCCTGCAGTGATATCAATGGACAAGTTGATGATCAACAAGAACCTTATAGCGGAATGTACTTAATTATATTTTTAGTTGCACAATTATTACATGGTGCAGGTGCAGCACCCTTTTATACACTTGGTGTAACTTATTTGGATGAAAATGTATCGAAAAAAATGTCTTCTGTATATTTGGGTGAGATAATTGTTAAAAATATATTTGACGAAGTATTGAAGATATGATCAGTCTGATCTGATCTGATCTGTGTGTGTGAGTGTGTGAATGGTTATTTTAATGTAAATCAAAAATACTTTGTACAGGTATCTATTACACAATGGCTGTGATAGGACCAGCATTGGGATACGTGATTGGTGGTGAACTTTTAAAACTTTATACTGATTTTATAATCATCGATCCTACCACGTAAGTAATCGTGTACTTTTTATCTTATAGTTAATAATATAATTATATTGATAAATATATTTACAGTATAATCATTATATTGAATAACTTTTTATGTAACCATAATTATAAAAGTGTTGTCGAGACATTTAAAAGGATTACATTTCAACACTAAATAAATTCTATATAATATTGAAATAACAAACATTATATATAGCAAATTCACTTTGGTGACAATATTAAATTATATATTATTACATTTAATTAATTTAATTTGAAATAATATGATTTAAAATAACTACTAATAAACTCATTTATTTTTTCTTTTTTTTTGTAAATTTGTACTTTTATAACATTTTTATAATTATTAGCACATATTTTAGCACATTATAAAAAATGAGTAAAACAAATAGGTGTATAACCGAGATAGATGTTCCATCGATATTTGTCACCTTCAGTTTGCCACGATAAACGTTTTCCGCGTTCTTTAACATTTTCCAAAAAAGCTGCTACAGGAGGAGGAGGAGGAGGAGGAGGGGGTGGTGGTGGTATGTTTAGTCGGACGACAGGGCAACTTTATTAAATTCTCTCGAGGATTTATCGGCAGTTCGTTTCGATCTATCCGTTCTCGTGCACCAGAATGTACCACCACTTCCCACCTCCCAACACCCAACACCCAACACCCATACGTAAACGTTTCCTCCTGTCAACCCTTGCATATCAACTTTTTAAACGCGTACGAGATAAAACGAGACGGAAGAATACACATGTGCAACATAGGTGTCGAATATTTCAACGAATTAATGTTAGTAGTAACAACACAACCAACCACCACCACCGGAACTGTTGGTGGGTACGCAAATAAACGACGAATATTTTGGGCACATTAATTCGGTTATTTTGTCGGAGGTTGGGAAATCACACATAGACACAGAGACACACACATTCAGCAGATTATACACCTGTTTCATGATTACGAATGAGAAAATGATAATATTTTATCGAGAGTATATTATATTAATAATTATTATTAATTATTAATCGTTTAAATGAAATATTATTTAATGTAAACAACATCGACGAGAGAATTAAATGATATTTGATTGACAAAATTTGTATAAAATGTACACACAGAAATGAAAAATCCTTTGAAGAACTCGTTCGTGATTGGACGAGTAATTATTGTTGGTCGGTCGGTGGAATCTTTAATTTTTACGTCACAGATAAACGTATCTAAAAATGCAAAGACACGACCGTGAGACGTGAGAATACGCACCGTTATAAATAATATCCCTTAGGGACCATTAAAGCGTATAATGGGGCCGAGATTAATAGTGCATGTAATCCCAATGGATATATTATATCTCCTCCCCTCCCCTCCTCCCCCCCCCCGCTCTCTCTCTTCTCATGGGGAAAATGTCAAGCGGTGAGCCAATGTTTGACGATGACGGTGATGTTACCCCTTCAAAACTGTCAGTTCATCCTCCACCTTCTCCCTCCCTTCCCCCTGTTGACAACACTTAGGACACAATCAAGTTCCATTTGTCTATTCGGCTTTCTACCCCACCCCACCCCGACCCTTCGTACTCTCATCGTTTAGCCCTTCATCGAAAACCCCCCTTCGAATCGTCTCTTCTCTCATCTCCCCCCACGACTACCACCCTCTCACTTTATCCCCCTGCCCATATTTTTTTTTCTTTCTTTTTTCTTTTTCTTTTTATTTTTATTTTCAATTTTTTTTGTCTTTTTTTTTTTTTTTTTATTTTTTTTTGTTTACTTCCCATCGTTTCTCTCGACGTTATCGTTGAGTCATTCTGTGTAACACGATGTTACGTGAGAATTGAATTAATGGTCAATCGTTTGACGACAACGTGGCCCCTTTTATTTTTTCTTTTGTCCCTTAACTAACTTTTTGATATTTTAAATAAAATTTGTTGAAATAATCGTATTAATTATTTAACATTGTGGCTAATGAAATTGAACGTTTTACGAAAATGTTAAACAAATTAATCACGAGTTTTAGAACGGTTTGTTGTAAATATTTTCTATTTTTAAATGATATCGTAAAAATTGAGAATTATTAAATAAATTCTTAAGTACCAAATGAATTATAAAACTGTTTTAGATTTTGATAGAACCTTGTATAATTATATTTTTGTATTTATATGACGTTTGAATATTAAATCACGTCGGGAAATATTATTTACAAAATATAAATGAATGAGAATGGTGAACCTTTATAGAACCCTGTATGAGATTATTTTTTAAAAATATTTATTAAAGAACGGTAAACGCGTGAATGGAAGGGACGACAACAATTGGTGAGGATGGGGGTGGTGGTGGTGGTTTTCTTTGAAATACAGTCTAGCAACGAATCATTGAAAGACGAAAAGTTTACAGAAGCCACGTGCCGTGAATCGTTTTATTCCTTGCTTCAAAGGATTTCCGACATGTATTATAAATATCGTTTATAAAACCTGAAGTAAAGGTATATATATATACATACACGTATTTTCATGTGTGTGTGTGAATGTGTTACCAACAATTTCAACTTCCTTTCTGTCTCTTTCTTTCTTTTTTTATTTTTTTATTACTCGTAAATTTAAATACAATGTGTTTGATTTTTGTTTTATTATTAGTTATTAATTTGAGAACAAAAATATATATATATATATATATATATATATATATATATATATTATATTATTTATAAATTATTATACTTATAGTTAGAATACAATTTGGTATGTGTAAAAGAAGATCCATCGTAAATCTCTGGTTGGTTCTAATAAGTTTTTAAAGTTTCACAGTACGTGAGTTTTAAAATTCGTTGTCTCTCCACGTTGGAAAACTTTTCAAGCAAGAAATTATTATGGTAAAAGATGATAAAATGGATGGGTATACTGACTGCGAATAATAAGGGGGGGGGGAGAGGGTGAAAAAAGAAAAAAAAAAGTGGTCTTAACCATTGGGTGAACGGGCCAAAATGAAAACTGCTTATGGGTTTCATAGTTCTCGACAGATTATTTCCTAGTTTTACGTTTGTGAAATTGTATACACATATATGTATCTCTATGGTTCTAGGGGAAACGTGGAAACTCTATCTAGGAACGAATTTGAAAAAGTTTTTTATTCGAAGTTACTAGATGAGTTGTTTTAGTTGTTTTTCACTTTGTTGATATTTAAGTTTTGCGAATCATCGAGTATAATATTAAAATGAAAGAAACTCGTGCAAATTGATCAAAACGATGTTCGCAATAATTCTCCGATTACGTTAGTATTATTAATATTAATATTATTAATATAATATTGGAAAAGAGAAGGTGATGTTATAACCTTGAGACACGATATAAAAATAAAATTATTATGCAAAAATAAAAAATTAGATTTCGCAAAAATGATTGAATACTTTCACAAAACGATCGATCAATCAATCAACTTGTTTACGTGGTTTTAACGAAATTAAAAATCATTCTAAATACTTGTTTAAAAAAAGACAAAATAATAATAAATTCCAATACGTTAACCGGTTAAGATATTTATAGCACGCTCTATATATATATGTATCTATATATCGTAAAAATCTGGAATATATCTTTTAAGTAGCTTACGTTGGAAAGTTTCCAACTGAAAATTATCGTAAAGTCATACGATTCGTGAAAGTGATCGTTTGATATTTTTCACGCCTATGTTTTTTTTTTTTTTTTTTTTTTTTTTGATTTTATTTAACGAAATGAAAACGAGATATAAAAAAAAAAAGAAAATTTTTTTTTTTTAACACATTGACATAATAATTTTTGTAACATGAACGAAACAATTGTGTGAAATCACAAGAAATAACAACTAAGTAAATTCTTTGATATTTCTCGAAAACTGTGGCCCAAGGAACGAAAGTGTAGAAAAAGGGTGGTTCAGGTGAGAGGGGGAGGGGGAGGGGGGAAAGGAAAAAGGGATGATGATGGAAATGAAGAAAAGTCTTGGTAGAAAAGGAAATATAATACCCTTTTTTCTCTCTTGTGGGCTATCGTTAAGTGTACACGTTGCCACGTTTAATTTCGCAGGCAAATGAAAAGTTTCACGGGAACTTTAACAGATGGGAAAGAGAGAGAGAGAGAGAGAGAGAGAGAGAGAGAAAGGGAGAGAGAGTGGGTGGATGGGTGATGGGTATACCTTTTCCTACTATTACTGGGCCAACATCAGCAATGTATTCGAGCCTTCGAGCATTCCTTATAGGACTTACCACTACTATCACCTTTTGAATACTTTCTCCTAGTATTTCCTGTCTTTTTTCTACTTTCGTATTCCACCACTGTGTATCTTTTTCTCTCTCTCTCTCTCTCTCTCTTTCTCTCGTGTATTAGAATTTCAACGCAATATTCTCATCTTACCGGTGATGTACGAGACAAAAAATAATACGGTGAATGGAAGAAGACCAAAAAAAAATAAAAAAAATTATACAAAAGAAATAGTATAGTACATTTATTTATTTATTTATATTTATATTTATTTATTTATATTATAAATAAATATATTTTAGGATATAAAAAATATAACTAACCTTGCTTTTTATATATATATATATATTTTTTTTTTCTTGTGTAATTATTATTTTATATATACCATCGTAATTGTGGTATTATTTTGTGTGTTATAATTTGACTATCAAAATAATTTTAATTATAATACAACACCATCTTCTATTGAAAAATTACAGTATCTAAAGACCTATATAACCTATAAATATATAATAAATCTTTAAATTAGCAATAAAAAAAAAAAAAAAATAGAAAATTATCCAATATTCTAAGTTAAAAAAAATTATACAAAATTAAAAAAGAAAAAAACATTTCATTAAGATCGGTTCAGTAATTTCGAAGTTTATTGGAAACCAACAATGTGACACTGAATTTTTTATATTTAAAGAAAATATATATATATATATATATAGAATGATAGTAATTACGGTTACAGAAAATTGCTGGGATCTTATCGAGGCTAAATTATCGAGATAGAAACCTATAAAGAAATTCGACTGGTATCGAAATAAATAACAGGATATCTTTCTTTCTCTCTCTCTTTCTCTCTCTCTTTCTCTCTCTCTGTTTTATTTCTATCCTTTTCTCTTGGTTTCTTTGTCAATGGAAGATCACAGAGAGTGCGTAGCTACTGTTCGTAGTAATTAGTTGGAGAAGCCAAGCGAAACTCAAACGACAGGAAATGTGTTCTTTGCCTATACGACTACGATTTATCGATTACTCCTTTTTCGTCCTTATCATTCTCCTCATTCTCCTCATTCTCCTCTTCCTCCTACTGTTCCTCCTCCTTCCTCTTCTTCTTCTCCTTCCATTTTCCTGTAAATGTCCTCTAAAATCCTATAATCCCCTATCGGTACCCCGACCCGATGTAAAACGAAGGATTTTGTGGTAAAGAAGAAATGTTCAAAAAAAAAAAAAAAAAAAAAAAAAAAMAAATGTTACATGAAGTAAACATTTTGAATTAAAATGGCCCCGACTAGTCAAAATGACTGCTCTGAAAAAAAAAAAAAAAAAAAAAGAAAAACAAATACACAGACACAGATACATATACACAGGATACAGATTATACGTAGAGAAAGACAGTAGCAAAGGAATAAAAAAAAGTAACAAAAATCATATGATTGCAGAATTGGATTAACTCCGGATAGCAACGTTTGGGTAGGTGCATGGTGGATAGGTTTTCTGGCAGCTGCAGTTATTTGCTTTGTTATCGCGATACCGCTTCTGGCGTTTCCTGCAGCGTTACCTGGTACGACGACAAATTTTTCCACAAAACCATTTACACGACAAGGATCACTTTTTTTTTTGTTTTGTTTCATTCTTTGATTTTTTTAGACCACAATCTGTGTGTGTTATTTCTTTTGTTAATAATTCTTTATCTGTCAGGAAATAATTCTTCAATCTCATACCTTACCTAACTTCAATCGGGATAAAAAAAAAGTGATCCTCGTGATGAAAATAAAAAAAAAAAAGAAAAAAGAAAACAGTAATCTATAACACATAGGTGACATTTTCGATTTGAGATTTGAGATGTTTGCTTTCTTTCTTTTTTTTTTTTTTTCTTTTCTCCTTTCTTTACAGGTTCAGAAGAATTGGCCAAAGAAAGGGTATCAGAGGCACACGTTAAACCAAACAAATCTACGTCAAGGGAACCCGGTGGTGAGGCATTTTCGAAAATACGCGAATTACCACGCGCTATGACAGAATTGTTAACAAATCCTGCATTCTTCATGTTGAACTTGGCCGGTGCCAGCGAGGGTTTGCTTATAGCCGGTTTTGCTGCCTTCCTACCTAAACTGATCGAAAATCAATTTAGCGTCAGCGCCAGTTCAGCCGCGTTATTGATGGGTGAATATACAGTTTTTTGTTGTTGTTGTTGTTGTATTTTCTGCAGTGACCCTTTTTTTGTCTTATTTTTCCTTCCCCCACCTTTTCCATAGAAAAAAAAAAACTCGCAACATTTGCAGGACGATCCTCGTAATCCCTTTCCCCCTTTTCTGTTTTTTTTTCTGTTCTTCTTGTTTGAAACCAAAACGCGTCAACTGCAAAAGCACAGCAATTTTTATATCGAGACGACCGATCAAAACGCTATTATAACTCACATGGGTTTTTTTTTTTTTTTTCAACCCCGCTATCCTACTACCTTGATCACCACCACCCCAGTTGTCAAAGCCAAAAAGAAAGAGACAGAGAATGATGAGAGAATAAGGGACGTTTTTTTGAGCTTCCTTCTTTTTTTTTTGTTTTTTTTTTTTTGTCAAGTAAAACGACACACTATACTTTCTCGTCCCCTTTTGTTTCAGGATTGGTTACCGTACCCGCTGGCGGTGGTGGCACGTTTCTCGGTGGTTATTTGATAAAACGTTTAAATTTGTCTTGTTCTGGTATATTGAAATTTTGTTTATTATCAACTGCAGCGTGTATTGTGTTTACCCTTTGTTTCGCATTGAGCTGTCCTAATTTGAATTTTGCTGGACTCACTGTACCCTATCATGCTATCACTAAGTAAGTATACTTTGTAATTATTTTCAACTTTTAAAAAAAAAAAAAAAAAGAAGAAGAAGAACAAGAACAAATAATAATAATAATAATTCTAATTGATCCCAGAGTTCACCTTTTTTTATATATATATATTTTTTTTAATTTTATTTATTTTTTTTAGTTATTTATCATCACACATTATTTTTGTTAATTTCAAACTCCTTAGAAGCAGATAATAATAATAATAATAATAATTTTAAACGATTGTAAAGTTAACCTTTTTTATTTTTTTTTTATTTTATTTTATTTTATATTATTTATTCTTTTAGTTATTTTTTTATTTATTTTTTTAGTTATATATAATCACGCATTATTTTTGTTAATTTCAAACTCCTAAGAAGCAGATAAAAAAAAATACATATATAGAACAAATAATAATAATAATAATAATAATAATTCTAATCGATAGCCGAGTTAACCTTTATTATTATTTTTTTTTTATTTCACACATTTATTCTTTTATTTATTTATAACCAAGGTGTTATTTCTGTTATTGGAAATTTTTCACTCGGTTGTATCGAAAAAGTGTAACACTTCCAAATATATATATATATATATATATATATATATAATAAGTTCAGTCGCATTTTCAGACCGTGAAAATTTTTCTGTCCGTCTTCCCTACCCCTACTCTCTACCCTCCACCCCCACCCCCATCCCCATACGAACATCAACGTAATTTTATTTATCCGCTATGCTAAAAGTAAAACGTCGCATCAAATTTTCCGGAATAGCGCGCACACAAACACACACACACACAGAGAAGAAGACAGGGCCGTCGTTATAAAATCGATTTTGGAAGGAGACCCTTCATCCCACTCCAAACCCCTGCCCTCTCCCCCTTCCTCCCTCCCTCCCTCTCTCGGGTCCCATTTCAAGAGAAAATCGCGACGACGCGACCTTTTAAATAAAATACACCGATTATTGGATCTTCAACGTCATAAATTCGATTAAGATTTACTACGACGTACGAAAGAGTGAGAAAGAGAGGGGGGGAGAGAGAGAGAGTGAGGAGAGAAGGGGGTTGTCGTTTTCATTAATCGTTTACAAGAGATA